GGCCCCATATTAAAATGCACAACTTTACAGCAGAAATAAACATGTTTACAGTCTGGTATAAGGCCTCTAGAGTTAATTTAAATTATATTAAGGCTTAAAGTTATGCATAATAAAGGGTGTACCCGCTTTGAGTGACAGGTGCGTGCCGTCACAAGTGGCTGTTTTCTGTAACCATGACTGCCAAGATGGCCAACTCACATTTTGTAGTAGGGATGCACGATATTTATCAGGACAATGTGAAATTTATATTAAATTAAATGATCAGGATAGTTACATTACAGCCAATAATTTATCGGTTGATATTAATAATAGTTTTTTAATTAATTTTACTAGAAAAAAATTTGAAGAGTCTGTTGAGAGAACTGTTGTTGTGATGTCTATGAGACATTAAATCCTCCACATTTTCAGCTTAAGAAACATCCATATCCTGCATCCCTATTTTGTTTGTGTTATTAGATAATGTGTTGTTACGTCCTCTGCTAGCTACTGAATGTAACTGTAACTTTTAAAGATATTTTTTGGCCTTTATTTTGATAGGACGTGTGAAGACAGACAGGAAAGGGGGGAGAAAGAGAGGTGGGACACTACCTACAACTTTTATTTCTGTACCAGATTACAGTTACTTTTTTCCCCCTGTATGTTGATTAAGTAACTCCCTTAATCTGTTACTCCCCGTGCTTGACAACCACAGGTTTTCAGATTCTCCTCTGCGACCACAGAACGACTCATACAGACAGAATCAGCTTTCTCCTCTAGGCTTAAGCTCCGCTATGCTCTGCACGCAGTGAGAAGGTGGTGGTGGTCGCGAGGCTGGAGCGGTGTTATAGAAAGGGGGCTGCTGAATGGGAGGAGCTGCAAAGAGAGACTCTAAATCTTTTGGCAAGCGAGCAACAGCAATAGCCAGACCTCCATCTGTGATTGATCAGCATGTTGGCTCACACTGCGTGTTTGTATGTGTGTTGGTGTATGGATGGGTGTGGGTGTTTGAGAGAGAGAGAGAGAGAGAGAGAGAGAGAGAGAGAGACGGAGGAGAGTTTTTGCCCACAAGGTTTAAGCTGGGCGTGTGCTGGGAGTTATAAAAAGACTGGCTATAAAGAGCGGTTATTATTGTGGCCTAAAAGGAAAGATACCAGCACTGTAAGAGCGTGGGTATCAGGAAGTTGAATACCCTTTCTTGTGTTTATTGTCAAAGTTGCTGAACAATTAATCTATTATTTTCTGCATGTATATGAAGCTCCAAGGAGTCTAGACGTCTTTGTAAACACAAGCCACCCAATTTCCCTTTCTGCCTCTGACCTCTTTAGTCACTTCTCACCAAACTCTCTTTCATGTTCTCTAAAGTCTGGGTGGGAACCGACAGGATACAACTTAATGGAAAACTTAATCCCTAATAGTTCCCTGACCCAGTCATTTGGTAAATATTTGGAACTGATGAGAGTAATGATGAATCACCTGGGTCCATTTGGTACATTCAGTTATAATATTGTCTCTAAAAATGTATGCTTTTATTCAATGTGTATAGAAAACAAGATGTATATGAGATTTAAAACATTAATATAGCAGCAAACAACTACACTATGCAATGTAAAGATACAGTGGAGTGAGGGTGTCCTGAGGAGAGAATGACGTCGCAGTCACTGTCTGTGTTGCAATCGCAGCCTGTCTGTGGTTTGTTTACATAGTCGGTGTTGTTGTTCTCATCTGTGTCAGATTTATTTAAACCAAACAAGAGTTGGTGATTGGTGGAACAGTAGAAAGACTAACAAAGACAGTTTAAGTGAGTTTTATTTTGTTTCTGTCCACTTTTAATGATGTTACGCAGTTACGATGGTACGCGAGGTAAAATTGCTGTTTTTGTCCATGGAGTCTGGTGGAGAGTGACAGCAATATTATGGCTGTGTATGGTTAAACTGATGGTTTATATATGTAGGGATCCTTTCTATAATGTTGTCAGACACTTATAATAATCTGAGCCTGTCAGTGGCAAAAACTACTACTTTTAGTGGACGTACTTTGATGGGGAGCATTTGTCCTCAAGAATTAGCTAACATTACATGGCAGCCATATCAGCCCGTTTTGCCATATAACTTGGTGAATTAAAGATTTATTTTGACCAAACCAGCGTTAGTGATTGTTGAAAAGACTAACAAACTTGGTTTTGGTGAGTTTTATTTAGTTTGTGCCCAGTTTGATGTGTGTTTTATGATTATGTGCTACAGCAGGTAAAATTACTTGTTTTGTCAATGGAGTCTGGTTGGCATTAATGCCCATTGTTTTTGGTCTGACATGTTTTTGTATGTATAACCTTTAATGAAAAGTTTGACATTTTGGGAAATACATATGAACTTTAAAGGTGCTGGTGGGTGGATTTTGGTTTGCTTTGGACAGTCTTCAAGCTAAGCTAAGCTAACTAGCTGCTAGCTGTAGCCTTATATAAAAGATATAAAAGAGAGGTGTTGATTTCTTCATCTAACGCTCTGCCAGAAAGCTAACAATAAAATGTCAAATTATTACTTCAGAGTTCATGATTTGTACTGTAAGTGAGGGACACATTAGAGGCCACCAGCGCTCTTCCAGTGCCGCCGCCACCCTTCGCCTTCAAACCCACACACTGCTTTATTAGCCCGTAAAGTCAGGCCCTCTTGTCAAAATCTGTTTTCTAAATCCTCTCAGTTTTGACCCCATAAATCGACTTTGCTCATGAAATCAATCTTTCCATTCATTCACGCCATACCACGAGTGTGATGCTTTGACTGAAGAAGAGGACGCGGAGGAGGAGGAGGTGTCGGCCTTTTTTATGTATGTATTAATGTTTAACTGCGGACCCCAGTGCCTCCCACCCTCCCTTCTTCCCTCCTTAGACTCCCTCAAACTGAATCTGAGTCCGACAGCTGTAATAAATCACTGACGGTGCCAGAGACCAATCAACACAGCAGCCGAATGGCGTGAGAAAGCATGCGGGCCTCCGTCAGCCATGATAACACCTTGTCTGGGTATCAAATCCGCTCCGTAATGCCACTTAACGCGCAATGGCGGCACCTCGGCTCTGACTGAGTCAGCTGGGAATGGCATGACCTCACCGGGCTGTGTCAGCCTACTCCGAGGGGCATCAATCAAAGACGGCGAGGTCACTCAGACTCCCACCACCATGGCGTTGACCTTCAGTGAGCGGTACCTGCCATTACACGAGGTTCTTCGTGACTCCATCAATCCACCGTTCAATGCTTTCTTTTTATCACGGCAGATGTCAGATAAGGGAAATGGATGACATTTGGGTCCGAGCCACGACAGTAGGCGATTGTACAGCACAAGTGATGGCACACAGGACTTGTCGTAACCATGACAGCATGAAAAGACAGATGAGAAAAGCTGACACACTCACCCCCACGCCCCCTGCTAGGTTTTAATGAAGTCACTGGCTGCTTGTCTACATTGTGAGGATAAACAGAGAGGTCGGTCGCAAATCTCGCCCTTGCTGAACCAGTGCCACGAGAGACGACATCTTTAAGGTTTAACTTGTGCAGAAAAGTAAAGAGCAACATAAACAATGACGGGAAAAGGTCTGCCACATACCGCGCGAGCCGCCCTCCCTGCCTCCGAGCTGGGGAGGTGATAAGTATCCACCAGTTGCCAAAGACATTAAGACTCCAAAAATAGTCACTTTTTGACTAAATCCAACTACAGCAAACCAGTTATAGCAAAAACAACCCTTTTTTCCTGGACAGCCAAAAGCACCGGGTGCCAAATGCTGGTCCTAAACATAAATCATCGTCCGAGCTATGCGGCCTAAGTTAAGCTGAAAAGCGCTGGCACGGTGTGCTCCAATCAGTATGCGTTAGTTATAACAGCTTATTTTGTAACGGGGATGGAGGGGAAAGAATGTAAGAAACCTGATTTATCCTTACGTGAGTGGTAAAGGCCATAAAATAGAAAAACACCTTGCAGACAAGCAGAGCTGGTGAGCATCTCCAGCACTCCCGTAACAAAGGAGATTATAAGCCCTTTCCCATGGTGTCGGCTAAAACAAACACAGTAATCACTGTCGCAGGAACCAAGCCAGATAATTGCAGCATAAACATTTATTTCACCAGGGGAAAAATGGAGGCAAACAAAAAGCAATATTGCTATGGTTTCAAAAAGCTTGCATGGCTTTCATTTGAGAGAAACAAATGTGATTCAAAAAGTGAATAATTCTTGTCAGAGCTGCATTATTGGGGGGTTTTTAGTCAACTGGTTTTGTTAACTGCCTCATTAATGCTATTGTATGATCGTCTAATAGGCTATTAACACGGTTTATTAAGATGAAAAGAATGACTTCAAAAATCCTGTCAATGTGCAAAAAAATGTATAAATAAAATACACATGGCTGCGAAGCTCGCTGCCACATTTCTGATTTTACAGGGAAACAACCCTAATGCGATACACATTTTTCAGTTAATTTTCATCATGAGCTTTTTCAACTGCATTTCCCATGGAAAACTGGCACCCCTCCCCCCTCTCTGCCATAAAGCAGCAAAAGAGGAAAAAAAATAAATATGTTGTTCATAAAAGAAAGTTATTGTTCCCTTTCAAAAGCGCCCTAAAAGCCTGCAGTTCAAATGTCCATAATCAGTTTGCTTTCTGGAAGCCACATGCTCCGCGAGGAAAACTTTAGGCAGGCTAATGAAAACCAAAATAGGCTCCGCTCTGTGTGCTGGTGAGCAACCCAGCTGCAAACCGGCCCCTCGCTCGGTAGATAGACACTCATCTTCTTACATAAGAGGACGCCCAAAAATAGAGCTGATAGATTTAATACAAGGAGGATGTTAGTATGGGGGGGGAGATCCGGCTACTGTAGCCACAAGCTGTGCCCTCTCTCTTTCCTCTGATAAGGTGGGTGTCCCACGCCCAGCAACTGCGACCAACTGGAAAAGCACTACTTTCCCAGTACGGCTGTTGATTCACACAGTAATCGGCCCTTAAATAAGAGGAAACTGGAACTTGTTGTATTGGGCTCTTACCAGGATGTGGGTGAGGACAATCTTGATGAGTGGCGCTCCCGAGAGGTTGATGGACAGGGCCGGTGACGGCTCCACTTTCAGAGAGATGAGACAGCTCGCTACCTGGATCTTGTGATCCTTGAAATCGGCTGCTTCGTTAATCCTAAGAGACACGAAAAGAAGCACAGTAGATCAAAATGTCTCATTTTAAGGTCATAAAATAGTTCCTCCTAAATGTTACACACTGGACCTTCAAGTTAGCTAATGTTCGCACAAAAACAATTCTTATCTTCAGGTGATAATACACTAATAAAAACATACCTATGGATATTATATTACATTTATGTCAATAGATCCTGCTAAATGTTACACACTGGACCTTTAAAGAAATATTTTTATTTATTTATTTCCCTTATCTGCCACTCGAGGTGTATTCTGTACCCCCTAGGACAGTGGTTCCCATTAGGGGTCGCCAAAGCTTCATTGGGGGTCACAGTACACAGTAGGCCTATGTCTCAATATTTGGTCCACTTCTGTGAAGAAATGTAAAGTAAAGTAAATTCAGAAAACATTTATTATGTCAAAAAAGAACCAAGTAAGGAGCCTTTTAAGTCTGTATGATTATTAAAAATGATCAAAAAAATACATAAAACGTCTGAGAATTGTATAAAAAGTTCCCTAAACAGGAAATAATCTGCTCAAAATTCATCCAAGTCACTTGTTTTATACAAATTTCTTGCTGTTACTGATTTTACTATTTGTGTTCATTGTACAGTTTTTAATATAATATGAAATATCCATAAAATATGTCACTTAGTTTACTAAATGATAGAAAAGGGGTCCTTTAAGATTGTGTAGGAGGGTGTGTTTCTCTCAGACTTCTTCTTAAGTATCTGTACTGACTGACGTTTTGTTTAATAAAGATTTATATATACAAACAAATAAGAGTTAATAAAAGAAAGAGAGACATAAACAGATAACCTGGCTCTCACATCGGTGCGTAAGTGTTACACACGGGCCCACAGCAGTAGCATTCAAGTGGGACTTTGATCATCTGTCTATATAATTAATCACGCTGACAGCAGCAGCACTGCATCAATAGTTTTTCAAGGCGACCTGATATGTGACAGTGGGATCACACAAGCATCACCTCTCTATCATAATACAGAGGGGACGCCCTCACCCGCAGGGGGGAGTCGGGCCACGGTCCAAATGCACCATCACATATTTTACATTTTGTTCTTTAACTTGTACGAAGTAGGGGGGGAAAACAGGTTGCTTAATCGCTGTTATGTCAGGTTTGGTATAAATAAACACTGCAGCACGAGTGGAACAAGCTGCTCCAGTGATGAGACGTTAACCTAGAGGGAGAAGGGAGGAGGGAGGAGGGAGGAGGAGGTGGTGTTGAATGGGTGAATGGATATGGAGAGCTAATAGCAGGGTGTATCAGTCAGACGAGGTTGAGTGGCGAGATGAGAGATAGGCGAGAGAGGACAGATAAGGCTCTGGCCCCAGGCACCAGCCGTTCTGTGCTTCAGGAAGCAGGGACGCATTAACTCAAGCGGACCCGATTCCCCACACAGGAAGTACAAAGAGAGAAGGATGGGTTTTTTTGTTTGTTTTTGAATAGCTTCAACTCATATTTGATGGATTCAACAAAAATGTTACAAAACTTTTTACACAAATTTCTGTACTTTCTCCTCCTTCCTTTTTCAAAACAGACTCGTCACTTCAGTTTTAATGCATTTGAGGGGAATTATCTTTATAAGTATTATTATTATTTGTATCATTGCACGCCTTCCCAACGTGCATATCACACACGACAGACATAACATGATATATATTTGCTATTTCAGAGCCTGTCCTTTTTCACTTTCACATGAGTAAAGAAGTTGAATCACTACACAGTATGATCACGCGCCACCTGTAAAACCATTGTTTTCCTACGGCCACTAGGGGTCGCCAAACCTTTACCGGGGGTCGTGAGGCCTTCTTGATTTTAAGGGGTGTGAGAAAACTGTAAAAATATACACAGTACATCATCTCGGCATTTTGTTCATTGTTTATTGAAGTTTAGATGAATATTTAAGATTTAAACTGTTTAAAGTCATGAACACTTGACTCTCTACTAAACCGCCACATCCTGCATTAGAAAAGCATTCGGATGATACAACATTGGCCAAGGTGTAGAAGAAATAGTCAATTATATGAAAAGTACCTAAAAATATCAGGAAAATGAAACTCTCATGCAAATATTTTGCTTGAGCTTCGTCCAAATCACTTGTTTTACCGGTCAGGGGTCGAAGCTTTACTCAATGATAGAAAAGGGGTCCCTTAATGAAAAAGCTTTGGAACCACTGACCTATGGCAAGGTGCACTTGGCATTTTCTAGCAGTTTTTAGACACGTATAAAAGTTAAAATATCTTCAACTTTTCAAGGTGCGGAGTCGCACCACTTGTCACTGTCATACTTGGCCCAGACAGCCAATCAAATTAAGCAAGAGGCGGTGCTTCACCACTTCCTATCTATTCTTGATGATGTTTACTATGAAGGTTGGACTGTGAGAGAGCTACAGAGTGGAGGTGTACTGGAGGGTAGAGTCAAGTAAACTCAAGAATGCTTCTGGTTCCTCCATTTAACACAAAGTATTTTCATTATGCTGAAATTGTGTCTTATTGTAAGATTTTATTGCTAATTATTAGATTACAGTACAAATTCTTAGATTTAGCTCAATAAAAGTGACGAAAATACTTATTTTAAGAAGCTTAAATAAGTTTTCATTGCTTTTAATAAGCACAATTTGCACAATTTCCTATTTTCTGCATTTCTTTCTAGTTTTAAGGCCTGTTTCAGTGGCTAGATTTTTATGCTAGTTTGAAAAACATGTATTATATTTAAGAATATTTGGCTTGTTTCTGAAAGGGAAGTTTTTAGTCTCTAACTGTACTTCTACTTGAGTAAAGAATGTGTAGTTTTGCCACCTCTGACTAGGTGCAATGTGAGTTTACCCCACATCTGGGTGTTTTCCCATCCTCTTACCTCGTCTTGACGGGGCTGATCTCTTTGTAGTAGCTGTGCATGTTGTGGTAGAAGAGGCCGACGATGGTGGTTTGAGCTGTGGGGAAAGAAGACAACACACAGTAGTTGAACGGCATCGGGCAGTTGGGCTGGGAATGTAGTGCAGAGCTGCTAAAATGCTCACAAAGGAGGGAAGTTAATTAACGCTGCCTTGCCGGCGCACGCTGGCACCGGCCGGCTAATAGGACGGCCTTATACTCGCACAAGGGTGAAAGGGAGAGGGCCGCAAACCACGTGGATGTTGGGAAATCTTATGAAAGCTCTACATGACTTCACCAGGAGAGCAGGAGGTCCGGGTCCCCCTCCCCCCCTCCTCTGCCCCCCTAATCTGACCTATCATCCAGCTCGGTCCCACCTCGATACTGAAAGATAAACAGTGAAATTGGAGGAAATCCTTAATGGTCCTGTTCCTCCTTTCAAAGGCCCTCTACACGGGCCCCGCTGACTGTGACGACGAAGGCTCCGCTGTATGCTGTGGGAGAGTTTTTAAGCCTTCCAAGAAATAATTTCGACAGAATGCACCCCCCCGAGCAAGTCCCAAAGGGGATCTCAAGGTGGCCAGTTTGCTTGTACAAAATAAAAAAATATAATAAAGCATCCAAAAACACCAATGTGTAGCACTCTCTCTACTTAATTAGGATATAAAACCTCCCCTCGGAGCCTTTTCCTTCAGCCAGGTATTCGGTGCTTTGAGTTAATTTGGTCCTGGCTCTAATGTGTCAAGCAACAACATATATTCCATTTCTGATAACAGCCCTTTAATGAGTTATTAAAGCAGTTTACTCCAGTGATTGTATGGCAACACGGTGCATCTAGCAGGCCAGGTGGAGCCAAGGGAATCTGACCTGAACACGAAGTCAAACAAAGAGAGTTTTAATGCCCGCCGTAATTACTGCTCCCCCTCACTCCGCTATGTGAGTCCATTCTTTTTAATGACAGGGGAAAGTGGAGAGAAAGTGCTCTCTCTCTCTCACTCTTTCTGTTTTGAATAAAAGGGTAACTGCCAACATTAAAGTCATAGCTGGATTTCTACGGTGCGCCATAAAGTCACACAAAAGCTCTCATGGCACTGCTGTCCTACACTGTATGCTATGTTAGTGGCCTTAAATCGTAGCATAATAAATTACAGGCCAATAACAAGAGCCTCCCAGCTGGACAATTTTCTCCTGGCAGAATCAGAACACCACTAATGTGCAGCATTCACACTGGACCCAGATAAACTACTACCTTTCCTGCACACAATCCTCAAGCTAGTTCTGCTTTTTGTACTTATGTGCACTTACACTGCATGGCGAAAGCCTCTCCGGGCACGGAGATGTAGCTCTTGCCCTCTGTGGGGAAGCGGTAATGTGACAGGTTGTAGTTCTGCGGGAATTTCATCAGAGAGTAATCTGTGGAAAGGCAGAGAAAACTGCTTTATCAGGGGTGGGGATAAAAGATGTGAGGCCACCCTCGGGAGACAGCATGCTTAGTGGCAAACAAAATATTATGCACACACAAAAAAAAAAAAAAAGAGACCCACACCCGTGAGAGGGGGTTGACCTCGGCTTATCTGACCCGCGTTTGTCCTCTGAGTAAGAAAACTAATGATGTCAACTCCTCCTACCCGAACCACACAAACTACAAACAGTGAGTCACCTTATGGAGAGCTGACAGCACACTGACCTGCAACAAAAGATGTTCCACCCAGGGAGATGAGAGAGCTCCGGCTGGGCTCCAGGTTAGTCACCATATGTTCCATCACTCTGTCCACTGTCTCGATCAGCCCGCTGACCACAGGGGTGGACTGCTGCTGAACAACCACCCAACAGAAAACATGTTCACCAATTGCTTTAGTTGCCATGAAGAATACTTCAAAAATCTGCATTTTAAAGCTGCAGTAGGTAACTAAACTCAGGTTCCTCTGGCTCGTGCTAGCGCTCCACCGGGCCTGGACAAAGATATAAAGATGCTTTGTGTTGTAGGGTCATTCCCAGGATCCAGAAGCATCTCTCGGCTCTGACTGGTTGCTTTCTTCCAGGCCCGGTTTCATAAACAGGTTAAAGTTTTCTTTTTCTCCATCCTGGCGTTAAACAGCTGGTTACAGGTCTATTCCTGCCTCCAGCTAGATTACATTTATACCATTTACAGCTTTACTTTGGCCTTACTCAACCCACTTTCTCATGCTGCTTTGAGATATATTTCTAACTCAGGCTGCAGGATGCATCACTGCGTATTGTACACTTGCTTTTATAAGCTCTAAATGTGTATTTGTATATAATATCTCCAATCTTAGATCCAAAAACAGGCTTTTACTACGTCCCTTGATCTTGGTACGACCTGCAGTTTAGAACAGCCTCCCTTGTCTCTCGAACCAGTTTTAAATAAAAATAAACTGAAGTTTTTATTATAAAATGTTCTTGCAATAATGCATAATAATGGTAATCTATGCCTGTATTATTTGTAACGTATTGTCTTGTAATGAAGTGAAGCTTTGCTGCATTCTTTGCCAGGTCACCACTGATGGAGATAAAATATCTTCATCAGTTTTTTTACCTGGTTAAATAAAAGTCTTCCATGGCTCAAGGGGAGGCAGTTTTACAAAGTAAGAAAATAAGCTGTGATGATGTTGTCAGGGTAATCTCACATTTGTAACAGAAAGACTTTTATCAGACAGGAAGGCAAAATCCAGTGTTTTTGGAGCTTAACCCATAGCAGAAGTCACAAGTTAGGCTTGAGTCTTTGGACTCAAGTCCCGAGTCAAGTCTGAACTCCAAATGTTTGAGTTTCAAATCCTAAACAAGTAATAATGCTCTCTACGCCAAATTTACTGCAATTATAGCAACAGGGTAATAATATCTTAATATGACCATGTATGCTCTTTTTCAGGTTCATATTTTCTATATGAGGGGTCTGTTAGAATAAGTTTACAAGCTTTTATAATCAAAACATTTTTTTTCTCTTATTGCCTCTAATTTAGAAGTTGATTTGTCATTTTATTTTGGTTGAACATCAAAGTACGAGTCGAGGAAAGAACCTGTAACTCACTGTGCAATGGCCTGTTGTATAGAAAAACTCCTGCAACTTGATTGGATGCTGATTGGTTCAAACAAAGTGCACCGTAATGCGATAAGTTATTTTAACTAATTTGGTTAGTTAAAAAGATTCTTGATGAAGCGGCTTTCACAAGTACGTTTTAATTCCTGATTAAGTACTTCTTACGAGGGTATTGTGTTTTCACAGTATAAATAAAAATTACAAAATTAGGTCAATGTCACTTCAAATTACTAAAGATACTTGCTCGCAAATGTTTTTTTAACTTTCATAACTGAGTTAGATTTACTTAAAATGTTTGTAATGTAATAATTTTCAACAATTGTTTGAGTTAAATGAACTAAATGAACTTTTTACAGTGTGGATTCAGGGAATTAAGCATCAATTCCTGGGAATGAATGACGTTAATGTTAGTTGATTCAGGGAAATGAATTCATTCGTGGCACACTTTTTAAATAATCTTTGGGAGGGTATCAAGTTTTTTCAAGTCCAAAGGCTCTCGTCCAAGAGGAGTCACGAGTCATTGGTGCTAAACAAGTCATGTCGCAAGTCTTTTTTTGATTTTGTTGGTCCACACGTCTGACGTAAGGTCAGGATATCTCTCCTGCTTGTGCTTTGATTTTGACCATTCTTTTAAAACTGTCTTTTGTGAGTCCTTAAACTTTATGGGGATGAAATAAAAAGATGTATAATAAACAAATAATAGTTTTCAGATGATTCAGTGACTGTTAAATTATGAACATGTTTCTGAACTGCAGTTTTATATGATTTGTTTTTGAATAAATGCTTTGACAGTATTTTTTTGTATCATGTTTAATCTCAGTAAATATAAAAAAAAAGACAAATTTAATTCAAAAGTTGAGCAAACTATTGTCATAACACTTTTTTAGTAAATTAAAAATATTTTTTTTTATTCAAATTTTAAAAGAAATGTAGAAAATTGTGTTGCCTTGAATAAAAAATGTGGATTTACTCAATACAGGAGGATGAAGTGATTAAAAAAAATTAAATATTTATAAAATCAGTGCAAACTGTTTCCATAATAATTTTTTTAGGGAAGTTTTAGATAATAGATAATGTTTAATGCTAAACTTCTTGTTTTAACATTTAGAGACCATAAGCTACCGCTCGTCCCAGATGCTAACTAACGCTGTAGCAGTAAAAACCTGTAAGTAGATTCATGATTTATTTGTCCTCTCAAAGGTTACATAGTCTCTCTTTAACATTAGCTACAAATATGTAGCTTTTATTTGTATTCATACACATTTAATTAAACTGAATTAAATGAAACGTACATAAAGTTTTAGATCAGTGTTTCTCAAATGGGAGTACGTGTACCCCTAGAGGCACTTTGGAGTACTGCAGAGGGTACTTGTCATTTTTTTATCAGTCATGCATAATTTGTAAAATAAATATACTATATGTTCAGTATGTGAATGTAACTTCAGTAAGCCACTGCTACTTTCAATGTAAAGTTTCTCACAAAGTTTTAAGATACAATTAAATGCTGTCTTGGCATTACTGAATATACAGAGTCTGAACTCTTAATCTTTAATACGTCTAACAATGATGGCACAGCACGTATTACATTAAAAGTCTCTCGATCTGATCAGAGGAGATAATCGCAGGGGGGAATTTACCGAACACTGTATCTACTGTCCAAGTTATGCTTTCTCTGACTTGAACATCTGTTTCAGCTTGCTCCTACAAAAACAGGCATGCTTGTTCTGCACACTCAATGCACTGAAACCACACACTCTTGCTCAGACCGTCTTTCTTCTGGCAGCAGCGTGTTTGCATATAAGAGCCTAGAGATTGGGGCCAAGACGAGCGTACGTTGCAGGAAGCTGTGCATTTACATTCAAAGCATTGTTGTTGTCGAGCACCTCGCAGTCAGCGGTGCTGTCTTATTCAATTTACACCACAGTATTTGACTGCATACTGTAATCCTGTGCAGGTACACTGCCAGGCACTGTTATTGCTGCTGGCACCACTTGTGCCAAAGAAATATGCGGTGTTAAAATCTCATACTCGTGGATCTCTTAAGTGCCTAGGATTAAAGTATTCACCAAATTGCATATGTTAACATTATGTCATGTTTGAACATTGCACAACAACCGCGTGAACTCATTTACCTCTGGCAGGCCTGGAGAGGACAGCACTTCTTCCACACTTTTGAGAAAAGCCTGGGTGGAAGAAAACGGACATCACGGAACTGTTGCATCATGTGCACATGGGTGGGCATTGTGTGTGTGTGTGTGTGTGTGTGTGTGTGTGTGTGTGTGTGTGTGTGTGTGTGTGTGTGTGTGCTCCTAAAACCTGTGTGAGGTTGTTGGCAGTGTTGTGAGGAATGGTCCTATTGGGTAGCGCCTTCAAGAAGCCCAACACAGGCATGGACTGCGGGTCCTGGGAGCTTTCGACCGGGTCGTGCTGGTTGATGACGATAGGAGGACTCACTACGGTGGCTGTCTGGGGAGACAACACATCAGGCATCAAATGAAGTTTACTATCAGGAGGTAGCGAGTTCCAACGCACACAGGATGTTCGGTGACTGATAGCTTGAGTTTGGGAAATTCTCTTTTCAGCTTAGTGCTCTATAGGGAGCTATTCTGTGCGTAGTGTTGAGCATCTGTCTCCACTTTCTTCGATTTCTTTATGCGTTTTCTACCTCCAAAGCCCTTTAATAAACAGGACGAGTCTGTTCACATGTGCTCTCAATATCCTTTTTTTCTCCCAGCTCCTCTGTCTTCAAAAGGAAACGATAGCTCAATAAGAAATGAACTCACGCATGCACTAAATGCTTTTTTTCTCCTATTGATTCAAGCAGCACACACGTTTGTGTATATTTTGCCCTCAAAACTGTATATACATTTTTCATACCACTTCAATGCGAATGCTGTATTTGTAACGAAAACTTAGATGATTCACACATGTGGTTTAAACAATTACATTCAGCTATCACATCTGTTTTGGTTGACTTACGACTGTTGGCGTAGTTGAAGTGATTCCTTTGGAGGCCTGGGGTGTTGTGGCAGAAACTATGGCCTGACCTAGAAAAGACAATACAGAGGAACCACACTGGTGACAGGCTTCCCCCTCCAGTATTAAGACATACATACACATGCCTGGAACAATGATCTGTGTCTGATATTATGATGACATACAATCGAGCAATCAAGATTTGGGGCAGGAAGCTGATAACATCACATCTTTGCCATGTTCTTGGGAAATTAAATATGTTAAGTTTAGATAATCTTATTGAATTTGTTCATCATAAACTGATCTATAAATGCCTACCAGGCTCTCCGGGTGCTCAGTGACCTTGTGGTTCCACTCAGAGCTTCAGGCTCAGTAACATGTGGAGCATTTAACGGGAATCGTACCGGACTGGACAAACCTTTTTCTGTTCTGGGGATTAAAATGTTGAATTCTTTACCTACAGAACTCAAACTGGATCCTGACTGGAATCGTTTGAACCTCAAACAGTTTTTGAAGAAGGATCAGTCATGTATTCATGATTTATCTGGTGCATATGGCATTTTAATTACTCTCTTGCTGAGTTCTTTCTTTGTTAATGTGCATACTTATTGTTCAGTTTGTTTTGGACAGGCTCTTGCGTATTTGTTGAGTTTTTATGTATTTTAAAGGCTCATCCAGGGAAGGGGAGTGCAAATTAACTTTGGCTATAAATGCTGTGTTGTGTGCCATTTGTTTATGCTACATACTTGTCCTCATACAAATAAACAGTACATAAATGTGCAGGCTTAGGGAGTAACGGGACAAGACCTCGGGGTGAGCTGTGGCTGCGTCATACACCAGTATATTACACATATATCACACTGCGCAAATTTAATATAAATCACATGATTATTGCCATATTAGGCTTATTTCCTCTTACCAGTAGGTGGCACTATGAGAAATGTTTGTATGTAGATGTGTTCAGGTCGGTACTCTTATCTAACATGAGAAGTTTGGTGCAGGTTGGATAATGTACATTGAAGTAACAACAACATTCTGCTCCATAGCGAAGTGTCAATTTTCGACGCCACACCACCCTCACGCCGTTTGGTGGAGCCTCATTATTTTGAGAACTTTTCATTGTGGACTTCTTTACACTGTACTCACCAAATTTCACATCAATCCGAATTCTCTAGGTGGAGTCTGTTAAAACATAAGGCCTGGAAATTGCAGAAATAGCGACAAAATTTGACACTAAATTCAAAATGTCCGACTTCCTGTTGGGTTGAGGGTATGGGTCCAAGAGGCTTTTTTGTACATTAAGAGAAGATACATAGGTGCACCAGTTTTCATACATCTCGGTTGTATGTGTCTTGGGGCCGTGGTTAATACGTACATTTCTCGTACCGTTACATTTTGTTACAAGTGTCATGAGTGGTCGCTGCTCGGGCCCTAATTTTTAAATTTTTAAAGTAACCCTCCAAATCCTGCTGATATGGTTTTTTCCCCCCAACAAAAAACTATAATTTCTACAATAAAATCCTTAAAAAGTCATCTACTCCTTCTTCCATGATTTAAAATGACTCTAAGAATCTATGAATATGCAACCTTCTGCAGACGAACGTGAAAACATCCTTCTAGTCTACATCTTTCTGCACAGTGGAGATCAAACATCCAACTGTAGGAACGAGAAGAAAAACATATATTTTAGTTTATTTGGACTTTTAGATTGTGTTAAATTTTCTAGTCTGGATATTCCTCGCTTGGCATTTGAGAGGCTTTTCTGTTACTCCGTCATCTGGTCCTTTGTTGAACCTGAGCAGGCCGAGCTGCCGTAATGTAGCTGGATTTTATCAACATACAGCTTAGAGTTTATGAGGCCGGACCATGCCAAGTCATGAAAGACGGGATAGATTACAACCTCCACAAAACTGGGATAATCAACCACATAATACTCTGCCACTAGCTTCTGTACAAGGATAAGATACATTTTTATGTCTTTGCTTGTCATTTAATGAAAACAGCACTAACTTGCTAGCAGAAAAATGGCCATATATGGACGTCCATGGGAGGTATCAGTCTGAACCTTCCTGCTCTTCTTTGGTTCAATGCAACATTTTATATGTGTGCTCTGGAGGAGTAAAAATATTTTTCTGTAACCATAACAGTCAGACTCTTTGCGTCTGGTAATGGTCTGTGGAATATATTGCTTTTGGTAATGACTTCGGAGGAGAAATAAGGCAGTGTGCACTTTATGCTTCATGCATTGTGACTGGTTGAAGCTCTAGCGGTGTCGATATTGCCAGTCGCTCGCTCTCCAAACAGAAATACACTGAATTTTATGATATTTAGCAATAAAAATTAAAAATATACAAAAGAAAAAGCCAAAATATTCATTGGCAACACCGAAATAACTCTGGTTTCTCACCTTAAATTCCAAGTAGATGAAAAACTAACATGGAAACTGGACTGTGAAGTAGAGAGAGTTCATCCATTGTTATATTATTCCTGTATTTTAACTGTATTGTAATACTGTCTGGGCTGTATGGAAGCTCATTTCCATCAATGTGACGGGGGGAAAAAATATCCTGTAAGTCATTATAATGAGAAATATTGACTTTGCATCTCAAAATAATGAGAAACCTTCTTAATATTTTGACCTTTGACTGGTCTGAGGAGCAGCAACGGCAAAGGGGACAGTCACCCCTGAGCCTGAGTTTGGAACGAAAGGACGTAGAGGAGCCCTAAGTCAGCTGACCTTGAGAAACCTGGATGTAGAATAAAAGGTTAGGAGGTCTGCAATATAGGAAAGGCAGTCCAGGCCATGAAGGGATTTATAGACAAAAAGGAGAACCTTAAAATCAATTCTGAACCATACTGGCAGCCAGCGGAGAGAGGCCAGAATAGGTGTAATATGGTTCCTCTTCCGAGTACCTGTACCTGCCTGGCTGCGGCGTTCTGGACCAGTTGCAGGCAGGAGAAAGATGAGATTGTTATCATCAAACATTTTAAGTAAGACAAACTCTATTTTTTAGGTTAAAAAGATTCTTGATGAATAAAAATTACTCAAAATCAGCAATGTTTTTGTAACTTATAAATTGAGTTTGTTTTACTTAAAATTTCCGATGTTATTAGTTTCGACTGTTAAATGAATCTGGTTTCACTTAAACCTGTTTCAATAAATTTCAACAGGTTTTGAACATTTCTCAGACGACCATGTAATTTGTTATTATGGATTATAACACAACAGAATATTTTAGTTTAGTTAATATTTTTAAACATGTTATTTTATCCATTTATGGCTATATATAAAGGAGGTAAAGCCAAGAGTCTGGAGGGGTTTTAACCTGTCACATAAAATCCAAATGATCTGCCCCCTGCAACCCAACATACCTCTGCAACTCTTATAAATACTTAAAAGGCAGAACTATGCGAGCCACAACACTTATACAGTGAAAGGTCACGAGAGGGAGTATATTTGTGTGGTTTTAAAAACATCTTGTTATTCATGAACGCTGTGGCTGGAATGTGGGAACAAGCACGGAAATTGCTTTTTAACCCCTGTTTCCTCAGAGTGGAGTCAAGAGGGAGGAATCATTATAATAGATACGACATGTGCCAGAGCGGGAAAGGGGAGGAAATACTTTTCCAACAGAGCAGGATTGTCCTAACCTATGGCGGCGCTGTAGTAGAGCGAGATCTCGTGAGGTGGAAGGGCCCTTTCCCAGATGACGAACTCATCGAAGGCCCCTGTGACGTAGTGACGATACGTCCTGCCGTTGCCGGTTCCGATGACGAGGTCGGGGTAAGCGTCGCCGTAGTTCTCTGAGACGCTGCCAGCTGGGTCATTAGCGGTGAGGGTCCCATTGATGTAGACCTTCAGACCATCCATTTTCGTCCACGTGAAGAGAACGTGGGTCCAGAAAGGTCCTGAAGGAGCAAACGTGTTATATTTATACAGAATATATGATGTATGCAGTGGTTCCCAACTTTTAATCTTAATGGGACCCCTTTTTCTATCAATGAGTAAACTGATTAAGTGACATATTTTGATGGATATATCATATTATATTCAATGTATAACAGTAACAGAAGAGAACAACTGATAAACTGTACAATGAACCCAAACAGTGAACTCAAAAACTAAAGGAAGTTTGTGTAAAATGAGCGATTTGAATGAATTTTGAGCAGACAATTGTGTATTTTATGTTTTTTCCACAAATTCTTTAACAATCACACTGACAATTTAATAAATTTAATTTATTTTTCTTTACAAAAATGAATACAATTCTGAGATATAGGCCAACTGTTTTCTTCTGTCTGTTTAAAATCTTGCCTGTGAAGCTTCAGCGACACCTAGAAACACTACATTCATTACTGGTTCCAAACCTGGAGCAGTGCCTAAAATGGACCAGTACTGACTATCAGCACTCCGGATTTTTGGCCACACGAGTAACCTTACTTCTTATTGAGCATGGCCCACCACTGGGGTCACCAAGGTATAGACCTCAGTATTTTTTCCAAAGGGTATACAATAAAAGTTGTGAAATAATTGCCTAAAAACAACTTTATTTTGATGTTCTGATGCCCCAAAACCCAACTACCAAGTGCAGTTTCTGGACCTTTGGGTATTTCTAAGTGCTGCTTTGGTACTCGTAAACGCCTGCGTAACTGTGTCTGTTGCTCAGAAAACGTAACTGAAAATGTTAAAAAAGGATTTTTAAAAAACGCCAAAAGAGTTGTTGTTTAGGGTTAGGGTTATGTTTATGGTTACTGTTGTACTGAATTAGGTTACTGTTTTTGGTCCAATTCAGGCACTGAGCTGGACCAGTAATGTATGCAGCTTCTTAAAATAAGCACTCCAAATGTTAAGATAATGTAAGAGTGGGTGACAGAAGAAGAAATACAGATATTAGTATGAAGCTGATGGTGACATAGTGGAACATTTATATCAAGGTTTTTTTTAAGGGTCACAAGTAACTATTTTCTTGAATAATCGATGATAAATCATAAAAAAATGCCTTTTGTAGAAGGTGACGGTGCATTGAAATTGTTCGTTTTATCCAAACAACAGTCTAAAACAGAACTGTATCTACTTTACTGTCTATGGGTTATGTATATGTCGCAAAGAAACACAACAAATTGTTCTACTTGAGAAGCTGGAAGCAGGAAATATTTGCACCAGAAGTCTGAAGCTAGATATAGAAACAATAGTAGATATATAGTTAGTTCAGCGTTTTATCATGTTAATGTTAGCTATATAGCATTAAACACACAGTACAAGTGAGGCTGACAGGAATGGCATTAGTTATGCAGGTTTTTTGGTCAGAAATCAAAGTATTATTCAATCTAGACCAATGCTAGCTTGGTTAAAAATCGCTGAATATGATTCATTAATAATCAAAACAGTCATTAGTCTTTGTTATTCTATGATACTCATAAATCCAGTGTGCCCACAAGACCACGAGTCTGTTCTAGTCCTGCAAGTTCTTTCCAATCAATTTTACAATACAATGAACTTTCTTCCCCTTGTTGCTCTTCAGAAAATTGACAATAAAGAGAGTCCCAGAAGACAAAACATTAACTGAAAGCCCTTCTGCCAGAAGAGCAAAACAACCAAAACACATCTCATTTGTGGTTAGAATATAAACCACATGTGCTAAAGACCACTCCCACTAACTCTCTCTTTCACCTCTTTATGTATTAAACATTCGTCTGCCTTCGTGGGGTCAAAGGGCAGCTCGAGGTTTAATGTATCAACCTCAAAGCTTTCTCCTCACACAAAGAATTGTCCTGACACTGCAACACGTCACACTGTATGAGAACCAGATGACGTTTGATCCTCTGTAACTCAAATCAAAATTGAGTTATGACGCCCCGTGAACACAACCTTGAGTAATTACAGCAAAAACAAAGATGACAGAAGTCATCTGAGAACAAAATACTGATCTATAAAAGTTTCACATAACATTAAGAGTCATACGCTGTTTTCTTTATTTTGTCAAAACCGTTTACCAGATTGCTTCATCTCATTAAAATATATATTTTTATATTCAGAATTGAATAAAAAGTATTGGTCACACTCTTGTAGATTTCATCCAACTGGACCTTTACTGATCACCAAACATTGTTGTATTTAAGAAGGGAAGTGACCACATCTCATTACGCGTCTATGATAATTGTATGTTTTGTGATACAGTGAAAGTTTCTATTAAATTCATCCTTTAACTGGCCAAATCAAGTCCCTGTGGCAGCATCTGGTTTCACTTAACCAAACCAAGAATGCAATTACATAACTAACAATTTATGGTTGAAAACAAAACACAAAAAAAATCTATATATTTACAAGACCAAAATATATTCCTCTAGGGTGCTTATGGGAAATGTAATTAAAACAAAAACTGCGTAATTTATTCACAATACCTGGAACTACGATGTTGGCCTTCCATCTGTGGTTGTTGCCTCGAGTGTAAAACTCCACATATCCTCCGTAGGGATTGCTGTAGACGGAGAAGCCGTTGGAGATAACTTTCCCTCCAGAGGCTACGGCAAAACGGGACTCTGGCTCGTGGTTTTTCCAAAAAAAGGAGAAGGTAATCCCTGGAGAAATGGATGAAAACTCAAAATTACTTGCAACCATTAAAGCAAAGAGACAGAAATGTGCCAAAGTGCATTAACTACAGTGCACTCACCCTCAGGACCACAGAAAGTAGGGTCACTAATGCAAGAGTTCTGGTAGTTTCCAAAGTGGAGAAAGGTGCCGCCGTTATCTCCATTCAGAAAGATGCCCTTGTTGACCATTCCCTCAACAATGTCTGCACGAAAAGCAACAAATCATTTCGTTTGAAAATGACAAGGAGGTCTACTTCAGTGCAAAATGTTTCTCTGTTCATCCAACAAGTTACCCAAAGTCCCTTAATAGTCAACAAATCATGAGTTGTTTTTTGCAACTGATGAACATGAGGGTTTTACAGCTTTTTTTGGTATCTCATAAAAGAATAAAAGCCTTAAGGAGTCACTTCAGTTGATATCAGTTACGATTCACTGTAAAACTTGATGAGTTAGTTAAACTCAAACTGTTCTGAGGAAACTGATGTAACCATTTAAGTTTATTTACGCAAACTAATCTAAGCATTAAAAAATATTTGATTTAAGTACAAGAAACTTGATTATTTCTTGTCAAGGTAATTTTGGGATGAATTTAGTTAATTGTACCAATTTCATTCAGTTAATTGAACGTAAAAATACCCTCATCAAACATATTTAAATGTGTTAAAACAGAGTTATACGTTTACAGTTATTACATGGCAATGGGTGACTACACTTTTTGGAGGATTAAGTTACGTTAACTTACTTCTTTCATTAAGATATGCTGTCAGGCAGTGGTTCCCAACCTTTTTTCCTTAAGGGACCCCTTTTCTATCATTGAGTAAACTGACATATTTTATGGATATCTCATATTATATTATATATTATTAAAAACTGTATAACTAACCCAAATAATGAACTCAGTAACGGCAAGAAGTTTGTGTAAAAGGAATGATTTTTAAACAGATTATTTCCTGTTTATGGGAACTTTTTATACAATTTTCTGTCTGTATTATGTATTTTTTTATATTCACGATAGACAGGCTCATTATATTTCTTTTTCTTGTCCTTGATGCTTGGTTGTTGTTCTATTAGATCATTTACTTAACTAAAGCTGAGCTAAAGGCCTACTGTGTATATTTTTAAAGTTTTCTTTCAAGCCTTAAAATCAAGAAGGCCATGCAACCCCCCTATAAAGCTTTGGCAACCCCTAGTGGGGGCTGGGTTGGGAACCACTGCTGTTAGGTTTTACAGTGCTCTGCATCGACTAAAGCCAAAGGCCACAAATTCCTCATCTTGTGTTGCACGGACAAAAGACTTGAACAAAGAGAAAAAAGTGTGAAATGCTGAGCTCGAGAAGACAACAGAGAGCGGTGGGTGATGCACGAATGAATTTTCAGTGAGCAAAGAGTGATTGATTCTCACCTACTGTTGCAGAAATGTTAGTGTAGGCAGAGTCATTGGTATACACATAGGAAGAGTTATGGGAGGAAGGGAGCACAGTGTGGTTGTGGATTCTGAGAGCTGGACAGAGACAACGGAGAGAAACAGTGATTCACACCTATATAGACACACAACAGAAGACACACACAGTGAAAGGAGGACAATGGGAGGGACGTGGTGTGCAGGTATGAGACAGAGTGATGCTGAGCTGAGCGCACAGTGGCAGCGCTGAAAACACGTTTCCCCGAGTGACGCCACACATCGTACTCAAGTCTATACCCGATCCCTCTTCAACTTTATCACGTCTATGACAACTTGCACTGACTAATGTACACCGTAAAGTTAATTTAACTCAAAACATCGAACATTTTAAGTCAAACTAACTCAGTTTTGTGAGTTAAAAAACATTCTTGATCAATTAGCTTTAGTACATTTTAAGTGACACTGACTTAATTAATTAAATAATTTTGTACTATGAAAACAAAATACCAAGTAAAAAGTATCAGGAAAGTTTCTGTACCTTACAAAACTAAGTTAGTGTCGCTTAAAATTACCAGTAAAAGCTTCTCCAATCCTTTTTAACTTCCAAAATTGAGTTAGTTTGACTTAAAATGTCTGATGTAATCTGTTAAAATAACTTATTGCACTACAGTGTAGAGTCAACATGGCTGCACACTCAATGCATGTGGAAGAAAAAGATGCAGAATAATGATCTACTCCTTACATTTGTGCCAAACTTTTACCACATCTAGATTATAGGATGCTGTATGTAAATTATTGCAGCATTTAAGTTATAAGTTACTACATTTCCTGTTGTATAATTTCAGTGATAAATCAGACATACAATCTAAAAGTCTCAGTGCATGTGAAAGAAGTATGTAACTGCCATTCAGCTCTCAAAAAGATGCAGAATTATGATCTATTCCCTTACATTTTGTCAGACTTTTTTCCACCTCCAGATTATAGGAAAATGTATTTTAATTACTGCATTCAAATGATACATTACAAGATATATTGCTCTACAATATCAGTGATAAATCAGAAGCTCTGAACACATTCAAAAAAGCACGATGGCTGTGGCTGGAGGGTGGGTGGTGGAAAAAACAGCTTGAGACCATGCAGAGTGCAATCAGATGAAGACATTTAGGTGGTGCATTCCCATGAGTATATGCAGCCCTTGTTTATGTAGATGCACATACTTATGTTGCTTCCGTTAACATAACCTGGTCTGTTTCCAATCTGGTCCCACAGTTCATGGATTCCGTCCACAGCATCAAGAGGCCAATAATGTGAGGCTGTGGCCAACACCTGCAGGCCTGGACGGAGAGTTCACGGGTAAACAAGCATCCAGAAAGAGCTCTCCCACCTCCCCCCTCCTCCTTCCCAATCAAGCTCAAAATTGATTTTCCTGGCACTCCATATTGGATTTTGGAGGGATTAAAAGATTGATAATAATGAACCCAACTGCTGTTAGTAAACAAATCAACAACATTTGATTTGGAAACACTTATATTTGTATATATATATATTTCTGATCCTTAGAGCTGTATAATGCCATCATATTTAAGTTAGGACACATGAAAGCAATCACACCACCCATGCAAAAATTCATTACTACCTGGATGCTTTGCAGGTTTTACCTCTTGAGCATAAACCTGTAAAGAAATCAAATGCATTTATAAAAGCTGCTCTACAACAGATGGCCAGACTATAACATGAAAGGATGTGTGGTTTTTTTTAATGAGCTTACCTTAATACAGGAGACAAAAGCTGTAAAAAGGTGAATTCGCAAAGCAAACTCCATAGCTTTTGAGAAATGTACCATACAAAGTTTCTTTTTTCTCAAACGACTGTTAAATCCCCAGATGAAGATGAATCCAGGAGGAGTCACTCATTATTCCAAGTTGTGAAAACTTCTCATCAGTCCATGTGTCCCAAGTGAAAAATGTAGATAAATAATAATAATGATAATAATAAAAGAATAATTTAAAAAAAGAATCAATTCAGTGTTCTGGCATGAGGCAGAAAAACTTCAGAAGTTGCTCTTTCATGGTACAAATCTGCGCTTCCACGCAAGAAAAGTGTAATCCGTGAACTTTATTCCTGCATGGAGCTAGTCCTTGAGTTTCTGTGGTTGCATCTGGAAACTGCAAGGAGGGTAGAGGAGCTGCGTGGACGCGTACTGGGCTCGCTGGACTGAACGTGGGAATTGCAAAACGTGATGTCATTTTTGGATCTTCTGAGGAGGGGCGTCAGGGGCTGTGCGTAAATGGCATTATTTTGTGCGTAATTGGAGATTGTGCGGGGAATGAATGAGATCAGGATCGACACCGTGCGGTCCAAATGCTGTTTAGATTAAAAAAAAAGAAAAAAGATCTCGTGTTAAACATTTTTTGGTCTCATGACTTTTAGTTTGGATTTTGGGTTAAATTACAGGACAACACCCCGGACTCTCTGGGAACGACAGTGATGCTGTGCAGGATGGATTGTTACTGAAAGGCAGGCAGACCCAGAACTCACAGTTACAGTATCTGGATCACTAATTATAACTTTTTTTTTTTTTCAAATTAATTAATTAATTAACTGATATGTGCATGCAGAAATATCATAAGAATACGCGTTACATGAGGCTTGTGTTACTGTTCCTGACCGTTTGGAGGACAGCCTCAGGTGGGGGAGCTACCTGGAGCCTTTCTAGTCCCGTTACAGGCTTCCAAGCGCCTCTTGCACACATATCCAGGTAAACAGCGCCACCGTGTGGCCAAATAACCTGCAGTTTAGTGGCCACCCAGTCGTCTATTATTCATTAAACCTTCTCGTCTGGTGGTGCGTTTGCTGTCAACCTTAAATTCATCACCTGGTATATAAAATCACTGTGGCAGCACACTGTAGCACTTTTTAACGGATGTAATATAATCTCATCTTCTTCTTCCAAAAGTATAATAGGATTTAGTTTGTTTAGCAGAATGGTCCGATCAAATTTAATTGAGAGTGGACTAGTTTCTCCCCCCTGAGGCGGAGAGAGAGAGAGAGAGAGAGAGAGAGAGAGAGAGAGAGGACGAGGGGGAGGGAGGGGAAGAGGTGGGAGAAAAGGCGTTTCCCGAGGAAAGTGATATTGTGGACCTGTTACTGATCCTTTACGCGTTGGGAAATATCGACACAGCCGCGTCAGACTTTTATTTTGTGGAGCTTTTACTTTTTAAAGCTTCATTTTAGACTCAGTTTAGATTTGAATTTAAACTTTTAGTCCTGTTTTCCATCGTCTAAACCACCGCTGTTGATGTAGGCCTGCTGCGTCCACAGTAAAGGTGGCTCAGTGTCAGTCTGCACATGGAGACTTACAGGATGACCCAGCGGCTCTTTTACTAGAATTATATCCTGGCAGGAGACGAGCCGATCGGTGTGATGAAGGATCGACTGGCTGAGCTGGCTGTTGTAAGTGTGTTTGTCTGTAACTTCTGACTGTTTACACCTCGCCAGGTAAACTCAAAGACGTTTTTTTTTTCATCCGTACAGAGCAGGACACACGCAGAGGAGGATGTTGCAGTCGCGGTGGACAGAGATGGTTTCATGGAGGGCTTTTTCCGAAGGGTGGGTGTCACTGCAGGACTGTGCGCAGGTTTGGGGAACATTCAAAGACACTGATGTGTGTGTGTGTTTTTTCTGGTGGACGTAGGTGGAAGAAGTTCGGGGACTTCTTGATAAGATCTCCTACCAAGTGGAAGAGGTGAGGAAGATGCACAGCATGATCCTGTCTGCACCCAACCCGGACGACAGTAAGTGTGACAGAGTGTGGTCGTCTTCTTTTGAACTTTTTATTTGTCATACAATTAAGTCTTACTTATCTCTACATGTGGATTTCATTAAATAGACATGTGAATAAGAAAAGAACACTGGAATAAATGCAGTTTTATCCATCTCTGTCAAAGATATAACATTACAGACTGGATCTTTAATAGATCTTATATGATATTAAATACAAATCTGGATACAGATCCATAAACTTGTTGCAGGGAAATGTGATATTTCCAAATACAGGTCCTTTTTTGTCCATCATAAAACAATAAACCTCATATAACTGAAGAGAACAATAAACAAACAATAAAATAATTGAGAAAAACACAGGAGACAAAGTCATTTTCTATGTTTTATCTCTTTTTAGACAATGTGAGTATCAATATATATCCATAAAAATGTCAGTTTTCAACTTCATAACAGACGACTCCATTGGTTTATATTGGCTCTCTATATCAAATCAAATCAAGTGTATTTATTTAAACCACCAGAGTTGACCAAAGGGCTACAGATTTAAGTGCAACACAGTAAAAAATGGCACATGACACCGATAAATGACAGCGAAAGAAACTATATATAAATGTAAGGCAAAGACAAATATGTGCACAAATGTAAGAACAATATAAAAGAAAAGATTTATAATGCTAAAACCCACTAATAGCAACCAAAAGCCATTGAAAACATGTATCTCTTGAGTTTTGTCTTAAAAATGTCAATGGAGAGACAGTGTTTGAGAGAAAGTTTATCTGTCCCATGTTCTACTGTCAGAATACAGTGAAAGCTTCGACAAATATGACAAAAAATATTTGTACAAAAATGACCTACTGCAGCTTTAAAGTCCTTAATAAATAGGTTTAGTTTTTCACCATTTGATTTTGGGTCAAAGATTAATTTGTATAAAAAAGATTGTCCTTGGTGGCCTAAAGATTTTCCATCTTTAGCCGTTATGAAACACCCAGTTTTTGGACCTTTGTTCAGTTTAAGAAGAACTGGAGTTTGACTCCTGAGTGAAAATACAACAAATGTCTCACTTCCTTTGTTACATTTTCCTCCTCATTTTAAATGAATGCCGGAAACCTGTGAAGGAAACAGTTTCGATTTGCCCCCAAACTGTCACAAACCATTGTAATTTGTGCTCTGACTTGTCCTGTTAGGAGCCTTTCAACAGTCAAACATGCTGTCATTGGCAGATGTTTGCAGACGCTGGTGTGTAACATAAAGTCAGTCTTGCTTTTAAATGTGTTTTGCGGAAACGTTGCTGCAACAACTGCAAAACAAAACCAACATGGAACCAGTACCGATTTTCCTTCATGTCCTTCATACTTTTTTTTGCCAGTATGGACCTGAAATAAGTCTCAACACTGCAAGAAAGGAATCTCAAGAGAGTAAAAAAGCCTTGTCTCTAGGAAATGAGTCTTGTCAAGCATGTTTTCCATCTGAAAAGTAAGATAAGGACTGTGTCTTAATAAGATATTACAGTTAATATTGAACTCAATTTAACCAGTAGCAGCAATGGATGCATAAAATCCCAGCAGAGGAACAAGATTGTTGTCCTTATTTCAAGAGTAAAACCACTCGCACAACGTCTCAGTTTAAGAGAAAGTCGTTTAGTTGAGTAGTTTTTCATTGTTTTAATAATAAGAAGCTTCTGGTGCTTTAATTGAAGACACATTATTTTTAGAAATTGAGTCTTATTGTAAGATTTTGTTGCTAATTATTCATCTTAGATTAAGGTAATTTAATTTCAGTTCAATAAAGTGACCAAAATACTTATTTTAATCATCTTAAATAACTGAGTTTTCATTGCTCGTAATAAGCACAACATTCTTAAATCTTTGTCAGTTTTTCTAGTTTTCAGTAGATCTTTGATTCTCCGCCCGAACCCGATTGGACCCGACACTGCCCGCTGGGTTCAGGGACCAAAACTGCAGCCATAGCCTGGACAGCATAATTTATCGTTTTTTAAATATATATTTCATATTTTATTAATAATGCATGCAACTGTAATAAAGACTTAATTTGTTATTAATTATATGCACAATGTAGTTTATCTTGTAATAAACTATTTCAATTCTTTTTTTAATTTATTTTAAGCGGAAATTCAAGGTTATGTTCGGGCCCAAAATTGCTTTCATGGTTCGAGCTTGCACAGAATTTCCCGGGCTCAGGTCAGGATGGGCCTGATTTTTGGGTCTGACCATAGCTCTGGTTTTAAGGCCCATTACAGTCTTTAAGTAGCTAGATTTTTATGCCAACTTTAAGAATCCTAGCCAAGCAAAACTGGCAGATTGTTTTTGCTCAATACAATTTCTTTTTAATTATATTTAAGATTTGGTTTGTCTGGCTGTTTTTGCAGTGAAATTAAATTCACAGTGGTCTTAAAAAGTCTTAAATCGAACCCGCTGAAACCTTAATAAACCATGGATTTTAAGATGTGCGTGGTTCCTGGCTTTGTTCGGTGTCTGAGCTTACGCCCCAAGACCCTGCGAGACAAAGAGGCAGTTTATAGAGCCATGGCATCATCATCAGTGATTATGTCCAATGTAACACAGCACAGTGTTTTAGGATCCATGACGTGGAAATTGTCACCAGGGAAAGAAAACAAAGGGCTTTGTGCTGTGTGACCTCCGCAATATTGCCTCGGGGTTGTTGCCAAGTTACAAGATGAAATCAGAGTAAATCCAATATTTACAGGAGAGAGAGAGAGAGAGAGAGAGAGTCTTTATTTTTCCTCATCAGCAAACCAAATCTGACGTGTTTCCTATTTCTTTTGTTTAAAGGAACAAAGCATCATCTGGATACGCTGACCAACGACATTAAAGGGAATGCCAACGTGGTGCGAACTAAACTAAAATGTGAGTGGAACCGTGACGCGATTGTCACATTTTATTGACTGCGCCGTACAAAAAGCTGCTGTTTGAAAAGTTTGTGTCTCTCCCTCTGAAGCCATGGAGCAGAGCATGCCCAAAGATGATGTAGCGAACAGATCCTCTGTTGACTTCAGGATCCAGAAAACACAGGTCAGGAAACAATCATCAGCCATCTGTCTGCTGTGCACAAACACCAGGAGGGGAACGGGGATAGGGATTTTGGATAGATTTAGCAGTTTTTAGCATTTTGCACCACTAAAAACGGAGAAGAATGGCAGCAAAGTTTTATGACTGGCCAGCCAAAGGAGTTTTTTGTACCTATTAAATATGTATTCTCAAAGTAATTTTCATGGCTTAAAATTATTACCAATTATTTGATCTATGAGCCCAAAAACGTAGATACTGCACTCTATCTTTGTATAAGCATAAACGGTTATATAGAGCCAGCTACACTACAGTCAGAGTGCCTTCTTCCTGAGAAAGTTACATTAAATCCATATTTCTTATTGTTTTGTGTGTAAAAAGTTGAAATAAATGAGTAATTAAGAATGAATTAGCGGAGTAACACCATGTCCTCTCTAGCTAGCTAGCGTTAGCACTGTAATATCCGAACTATTATCACTATCTGCTTCACTCGGATCAGCTAATAATCCACAGATAAAGTCAGTGAGAGTTCCTAGTGGAGAACATGAAGATTCATTTAGTTTTATTTCCTACATTGGTGTAAGATTGTCTAAAACTGATGGGATTTATAGACGCTGAAGCTGCAGTAACTGCACTTATTGCAGGTTTTTGGTTGGATTTTGTAGTTACTGCAGTTTTACATTGTTTTTCCTCTAAAATAGAACAAGATTGAACTTAAAAATAACTTAAAACAGACATTTAAAAGTTAAATTTCAGTCATAACTGCTTTGTGGATCATTCAATCCTAAAAAAGTCTGCAGTCTGAAGTGTCCACATTGACCCTCCCTGTCCTCGTGCTCTCTTGTCCTCAGCACACGGTGCTGTCCAGGAAGTTTGTGGAGGTCATGACCCAGTACAACGAGACTCAAGTGTCCTTTCGGGAAAGAAGCAAAGGAAGGATCCAGAGGCAGCTGGAGATAAGTAAGTGACAAATAATGGACCCTCTTGAAGCCAGGAAACTCCAGCCACGTTTATAGAGAAGGCTTTGAAGCTTTAGACTCATAGTTATTAATTTATTTAAGCAGGAAAAAAGAGACATTGAGGTTAAAAGATCTCTTTTTCAGAGACAAACATAAAACAAAGAACATCTACAGACAGATGTATCTTTAGAATAACTTTAAATGCTTAAAATCAGACCACCTCCTGAAGATTTAGGGGAGTGTGCCACTGATTCAGAGCTGCGTTAAACACCTTTTTTTGCATTTGAGTTCAGACTTTAGTAGAAATATGTCCTTTTTGCCACTTTTTTGTAATAAGTAAGAAGGAAACCGTCCTAAAACAGCCTTATAAATAAGAATATGCCACTGATTAAGACTACAGGTGGGCAAGGCAGTTTACTACATACATAAAATACACCTTTTTTTTAAAACACATCAGTGGTTTGAATTTGGTTGCACGTTCAACATTTGTGCGAGATAAAAGAGAAACCCTGAAGCTATGTTAGAACAGGATCCAGGAAACAGATGACGCCGGTTTCCTCTCTGCCTCTATGGACGCCAACCTCAGTGTTAATAAACAGGCACCGGCAGCAGGATAGGAGGTTTTCACCTTTCTTAAAGATATCGAGCTTATCTTTTGCACCAAAGTCACAACTGATCACAGTTTAACAGCCGCCTGTTAAATGATAATGCAAATTAACTCGCTACAAACTCGCTCCTCTTCCTTTTTATGAGAGAATTAGCACAATGAAAAACACGTAATATACATTGTAAATAAGTAGGGTGAATTAAGGGGGACAGGGACATGAGGCTGAATGAGACAGTATAACTATATAGGGTTCATTTTCTCTTCTGATGAGTAAAAATAAAAACTAAAAATCAGTACAAATGTGGTCATATCATATTTCTATTTTTGGAATTGGGTTGTTTTATTTTGTCCCACAGTTTGGTTGAATGGGACAGTGCTCAAAGGCTTTGCTAATGCTGCAATATAGAAGCATTTTGTATGCTCTGTGTGCTCTATTAGTGATTCCCAACCCAAAAGGTTTGGGTCAGTTTACACAGAAAGGCTATAGCACACTTCCTTGGGATATAATAGAACCCATTTTCCTCTTCAAATGGGTAGTTAACTTCAGTATTACAGAAATGGATCAATGTTGGGCTGTTTTAATTTATGGTAAGAAAGCTTCCACAACAATCATCCTTAATCCACCCTGTGTTGGTGTGTTAGCATCCGTACCAGCTTGTTAGTTTTAACTTGGGTTTGTCTTTGCAACCAGAAAGCTTGACATTCATCCCCCCCATTTTTTAAGAGTTGTTGGGTCATCTCTGCCGAGAATTACATCGACAAACGTGAAGCATAAAAGACGGCGTGCATCAGGTGCATTGTATTATGCACATATGAGTAACACGAGACGATAGCGAAAGGCAAAAAATAGGACTGTCTCTCACAGTCCCTGCAGGCCAGCCTTAATGAGAGGCTCCAGTTCTCCCCGCTGCAGACGGAAGAGCCTGATACTGGAGACGGCTCGCTGTGTTTGTGTTGCCCGGGAAACGGGCAGAGGGCTCGGGCGCCTGTGTAACAGTAGTTCACCTGTCTTTGACACGGCCACACGAGCCTCGGCCTGCGCTGTCGGGAACCTACACCTTTCATTTACATCATTCAGAACTCCACTGGCTCGATGGGTGTTGATGTGTTGTAAAGGGAGGTGTGTTTTTGCTGTGCTCGGCTCCGTCTCTCCGGGGAATTCCCTTCGCGAAAAGGTGTGTGACATACAGTAAGCACCCGCGCACAGAGATCTGTCTCCCCAGGGAGGGCGTTGTGCAACAGGAGGCATGGCTCCAGGAAAAGAAAGCTTTCTGTTTATAGAGTTTCAGCAGCTGTTTCTCTGTGAGGGGCTGCTGGGTTCCTTTGTTCCTCAGACACTTCTAATCATAGTCACAAAATACAACTGAGCCACGAATAAGCTGCAAACCGCAGCAGGAAGTGACTTAAATTAAACGTGAAATTATCTAAATTAGCGGCCCGCTCTTAAATGCATTGTTAGCCACTGTTGCACTGAGACTTGCAGCATGTTCAGCACTCAAAATTCCTCAAAACCACCAGTTAGTTGGCTCTTAAAAACACGCCAACAAACTGTTGCAGTGACTTCTGGAGTAACCCTCAGAGTGCCGCTGTCAAGCACATTACCAGTTTTTTCCCATTTGGAATGAGGCTTTAATTTGTTGTTTCACTAAACAATAGATCTCACACTACTTGGGGAGACGTCAGCATTGTGTTAGCAGCAGTGTCCCCTGGGTGGATAACAGACACATTATTTTTCTGTCAGCTCAATCGATAGAGCTACAATGAGGCTTCTTCTCCTCACACAGCGGGCTTTATACACAGTGGCTTCACAACACTGCCAGACAAACGTATTATCCTGGGATTAAACACACAGCAGTGTACATTGTGCCAGAGCTAGGCACAGACTTTTGTTGTTTTCAGTCTTGACTCTCACTGCTCTGCTCTGGGAGTTCTGTCAGAGTTATGTTTTTATTGTTTTTTTTAAAGTATGCTTCAAGAATGATGAACACAAGTCCCTAAATACAACAGAGTGTCAGATTATCAATTTTTAAGTCATAGACGACTGTTTAAAAAGGTGGATGGCTTCACTTCCTCCCACTGTACAAAAATGAAGCAATTTTCACTATTTTTTTGGGGATGACGCCGCAGTATCGAGGTCCTACCTGACCTGGGCGATCATGACGTAAAACACACTTTTTATATCTTAAAATAACTAAATAATACAGAACTTGAACCCCTGAACATAAATCAGCGTAAGAGCTGGCAGCTAGCAGCCAGCGTGCTGTATGACCTATACTGCAACCAGCCACCAGGGGGCGGTTGAGATGTTTTGGTTTAAAAAAGGAGAGCTGTCCCTCCAAGATCTCACAGGCTTTTTTTTGGGATTGTTGCAGACCTAAAATCCCTGATTTACACTGTTTTGGGGGATTTTTTTGCAATGAAATTCCAGGATGATGTGAAAACGCAAAAATATTCTTTAAATTCCTTTCAATGAGAATAATATCGCTCTGTTTGGTGGGTAAATGTGAGACATGTTATGCATCTTACTAGAAAAAAAGAAGTGAGTTTGGAGGCAGGACTACAATGATGGGTCAAATTTGTGGAAAAGTTGCAGTAACTGGACAAAATTACAAGGTTGTGCAGAATTCACAAGGATTGGATGAATTTATGTTTGTGTGTAATTATTAAGTCATTAGGCACAACTACTTTTATTATCAATAATGGATAGAGAGGGTCCAGTATTTTGAAGCCAGATACTGAAAAACAAAAAAATCTCAGGACTGTCACTTTAAGTCTGAGGAGCTAGCTGAGAGTAAACAGTTAAAGGAAGCAGCGCCATGTGTTTCCTTCCCACAAGTGTTTTTATTCATTGTGTGATGAATCAAATAATCACTGCCTGCTATTTATTATTTTAGCTGGAAGAATGACCACCAATGAAGAACTAGAGAACATGTTAGAAAGTGGGAATCCATCAATCTTCACATCAGATGTAAGTTTCCCTTCATGCTTTCCTGTGCTGTGTCTCGTTAACGCCGGGTAAAAAGGTGTTAGTGCCATCTAGTGGCGGAGGAGGAGTAAATCTTTTGGGGTGTGGTTGTGTGCTGTCAGACTGTGGCTGCTGGGAACATTTGTTTTATTTTACATTATCTCTCTCTTTCTCCCTCAGATCATTTCGGATTCCCAGATCACACGTCAGGCCGTAAATGAGATCGAGTCTCGACACCAGGACATCATACGCCTGGAGACGAGCATCAGAGAGCTCCATGCGATGTTCATGGACATGGCAATGCTGGTAGAAACTCAGGTAACTAAATCTAAATGGAAGGTTAAAGTTACTCTTTAGCAGTTAGAAACTAGGGCTGCGCAATTCATCAAAATATTATTAAAATCACAATATGGCCAAATCGCAGAAGCTACAATTTGTTGATAAATGTTAAATGGGACAAAAAGTAATATAATTAAGTACCTTGGTGCTACAGAGATGTACTGGTCTACAAATCGTGTTCTCCAGATGTAAGAAAACATGTTTTTTTGTTATAGACCTCCCAAAAAATTTAATTTAATTTAATTTTTATTTTTTTCAGTGAAAATGAAAATTGTGATGCAAAAATGATCATTCTCACAAATCATTAATCATATTGCAATCATAATATCTGGAAAGAAATGTGCAGTATATAGGCGCCCTGGTAGCTCACTAGGTATCGCTGGCGCTGCCTGTACGAAGGCTGCATCCTTGCTGCAGCAGCCATAGGTTTGAGTCCGACCTGTACCCACCTGTACCATCAAATAAAGTCAAAAAGCCCCAAAAACACAAGATAAGATAAGATGTTCCTTTAATGATCCCCTGTAGGAGAAACTCAAATTAGACACAGCAGAATAAGGGAATGTAGTACCAGAAGTACAGAACTCATATTAAAATACATTTGCAATATGAGTTTTTCACCCCTATTAGAAACCTGACGAATTAAGTCTTTTTGCACACAGTATCAGTAGATATAAATAGAAACCAAGTTCGATATAAAACTCAGAAACTAAAATGATTCTACACATAAAATGTTTGTCTTATTCGTCAGTGTCTAACCGTATCTACTCTGTGAACGTCTCACCGTATTGTTCTGATTCTCTCATTTAAAGGGAGAAATGGTCAACAACATTGAGAACAACGTCTCCAACGCGGCCGAATACATCTACAGTGCAAAGGAAGAGACCAAGAAAGCAGTGAGATACCAGAAGAAATCCCGGAGGGTATGTGTCCCTTTCTAATTCTGTGCTTGCTAAATTGTCCCAAAATGAAAAATATCAGTTGTACAAGATTCAAGTTTCTCTCACATGTGGCCGCTTGAAAAGTACCATGACGACCTCTTCTTCACTCGGCAGAAATACATTATCCTCGCCTTTGCTCTGTTGATCCTGCTTGCTGTCATTGCACTAATTGTTGGCCTGTCTGTTGGACTAACCAAACCGCCTGTATGAGAACTGCTGCGATTACAGTGCGAGGTAACACCGCATCCACAGCTCCCATTCATTAAACATTCATCCATCCATTCATGAATTAATGCATTCATTTTATTCAGAGGTTTAAAGCTGCATTTGGTCACTTTTATATTATCCCATATTTACTTTCACTGTATTGTGACCAGTTTTGTATGGAGGACCAGAAGTGCCACTAAAATAATAATAAAGCATTTAATTAATTAATTGTACAATATAATGTGTTTACAAATTGATTAAGCTATAAATAAATAAATATTAAATGGCAAAGTCATTCATTATTTCACATTTTAATGGGAAATAAAAAGAGAGTTAGGGTCCTCCATAGTGTGTGGAGTAACGAGTTACTGTAGTTCAACTACTTTTGGTGATAACTTGTATTTAATGTAACTAATTATATTTTCAAATTAAATAACACAATTACAATAACTAATATTTATTTAAGTGAGAATTTTTTTTGTTAATCAAATATAATTAACTAGCGTAGCAAAGCTCGGTTAATGTTTACATCCGTGTTCTTCTACTAAATCCTCCTGTTTACTAACCATTATATAATTAATGGACAGAGCTTCCGGGTCTGCAAAGTGAAGCCAACGCGGAAGTTTCTTAAATATGCATTCTATGTAACGGCCAGCAGGGGGCAGCTCCACTGGCTGCAACAAAGGTCTGATAGAATTGAGTCTTATGGAGAAATGAGCCGACTTCTCAGTTGATGTATGAGCTCAGTAAACAGTTTCCTGATGAGTTTATGGTCTCAATCTCTAGTTTCAGTCTTCTTCCATACAGCATGATGTTCATTTAGTAACTGATGGTCCCATTTAGAGTAAAACAGACCATAAAGCAGGGTATGCTTTAGGGCGGGGCTACCTTGTGACTGACAGCTCATTCTCAGTGAGTCCGTCCAGCTCAACGCACCAAACTCAGATCAAACTGTCAAACTAGGCGGTGCTGATCAGATATGGATCCATAGGTTCACACTTGCTACCAACAAAGACAATAAGTGTAGCTTACAGGTAGGAGCGCTAGTTGTTGCTGCCCTCTGGTGGTCTGGAGTATTAATAACTAGATAAATGTGTCCCACAGCAACATTAAAATAATATTTCTGACAGCTGTGTGAATTAATAAGAGAGTTGAAGCAGACATTTAAAAGTAACACAAAACTTTCCCCTAGTAACTAATTACTTTTATATGCAATAATTGGTCAAATAATTCTGTTTACTTACTGAGAAGTAACTGTAAGTAATTACTATTTTTCAGTAAGTTGCCCAACACTGATCCTCACAGTAATGTGTGAGACAGATAATCTCTATGTGGCAATAAGACTCAATAATCAACTATCAGGATAAAAATATATCATTATAAAAGTTACCTAGTGCAGCTTTAAAGGATTTGTAATGCAGTTCTTCACCAGCAACACAGTCTGACCCCTCTTTTGCTCTCTTTTTGACAGAAACTTCTCTACCTTGCCGTGTGCGTGGTTGCAGGTTTACTCCTTTTGCTCATCATCATAGTCGGAGTCTTTGAGTGACGGTGTTTACGTGGGTCACAACCTCACAGCAGATGAAAAAAACTCTTCATAATGAGATAAAGTCATAGTAAGTTCCTTCACTATCCAACAGCATTACACAGAGAGGATCTCCCGACCACAGGGAATTAAGTATAACGTGTGCGATCCGCTCACGTTCCTCATGATACACCGCTCTGGAGCTTGTACAGCTAGAATAAACTGTGATACACTGAACACTGACAGCACATCAGATTTATACTCTGGTGTATGTTCTGTTCTGCTGCCATTTTTTTCATGTTGGGTATCACTTTCAGACATTTCTTGGTCAAATGACTGTAAAGGAATAGTTTTACAATAGTTTGGAGAATAGGCTTATTTAGAGTTAGATGAGGAGATTGATGTCTGCACGGTAAACGTGAAGCTATCACCAGCAGCCCGGATAGCTTAGCTTAGCATAAAGACTGGAAATAAAGGGAAACAGCTAGCCTGGGTCTGTCCTAAAGTAACAAAAACGACATGTTAAGGTTAAACAGGGACCTTGCAGACACCATAAACCACATCCATTATCATTATTTGTAACAGCGAAGGCAGTAAAGCAGCTGCAGAGTCCGAACCACACCTCCACACTCACTTGTACACGAAGCTACGGTGGCTGAGGAAGACCACAGCGGATCCAAACTTTATTAAAAGGAGGCAATTTTAGCAACTATTAAGCAGAGAAATACAGATAACCTTGTATAATGTGGTCTAATCAATGAATGAATGCAAACAAAAGGTGGCTTAGGAAAACAAAATCATTAAAAAAATACAAATATAGGTATTTAAGCAGCTATTAAGCAGAAATAATTAGGGTAATTTAATTTTTCCCCCCAATTCAATTGTTGCCAAAGCAGAATTATTATAATGAGAACTTTAAAAAGGACAATATTGACAAAAATCAATAGTCAAGAAAAAATAAAATAGTTAATAAAATAGATAAATGTATTGGAATAATATGTATATACACAGTATATAAGTAATTAAGTTATTGTTCAATCGAATCAAGTAATTAAAACCAACAGATGGCGTCAGTAATGTATGAACTGTGTTAGCCTAACTGCTGAACATATATCTATACATCAATGTTGATATTTATGAACCTCAAAATATAGTTTTTATATGTTTTATAACTTGAATCAATAAATAACTTCACTTCAAAATAAATAAATACATTTGTCGTTTAAGTTCAACTCCCAGCACGTAACTCCCTCATAAAAACAACAGTGTGTCGTTTTTACACTTCTGTTTGCGTATGGATTAAACAAACAAGATATAATGTGGTGGTTTATTTATGGACCTCAGAGCCAGGCTAGCTGCTTCCCTTTGTTTCATGTCTTTGTGCTAAGCTAAGCATATTTAGCGTACAGACTTGAGAGTGGTATCAATCTTCTCATCGCACTCTTGCCAGGAAAGCAAATAAGTGTTTTTTTTCCGAAAACATCAAACTATTTCTTTAATATTGAATATATATTGCGACAAATGTAATTGTCTTTATAAACGGATTGTATAGTTTTTGTGTTTACATGTTCACGTGTATGTTCTTGTCCTTTTGTATATTTACTGTAACTCATGTGAATTGAATGTAAAACTACTGCAGCTCAGGAGTCCTTTAGAGGTAGACATTATATAATTACTGTGCACATTCCTAGTTAACTGTGTCTCAGTCTGAAGAAATATTTTTAGAGCAATCAAATGGAATTCAGCAACCTTACAAAAGTGCCTCTTTGACATTTAATATAATTTATTGAACCGTATTTATCACGATCACTGTGTGTGTGATGACTGAAATATTAATTGTGAAAAGAGTCTGCGACGTAGGACTCTTGGATCATGTTATTTTAAGAGCACACATTTAAATTTTTTTATGTTTTTCTTAAGTTATATCTTGTATTTTATATTGACACTGAATAATAAAGTTGTGTAATTAAAAAATAAAGAGTAAAAAGTCTTTGCAGAATGCAGGTTTTGTTTATTTCGTAGGTGATAACGTTTAATTTATTAGTCATAAATACACTCCAGAAATTCTAAATACATAAATACTTTGAATTTGTCAGCCTGCATTAAGGTTATTTCCTCTGCTCTTGCAACTCTCCAAACATTTGGAGGTTCGGTTTGTTTACAGGAAAACAGAAAGAAACAGGGTGCTGTTTACTTCAGGACTAATGAGCACTTTGCACAAAGCGCTTGACTTCCGTGTAATCAAGCAAACAAGATTAGTGAAGAAAGTGGAAGCAGGTCCCCCGAGGGCGAGTTCTTTTTCTCTCTTTGGATTAGATCAAAGGAAACTTGAGAGGTGCACGTAGAGTGAAATGCCAGTGAATGTCCTTAAAATCTGTACATGGGGGGGTGTTTCCAGGTCAGTGAGCACGACATCCTAAATGTCAAGTCAACTGATATTATGAACTGTGATTAAACTTGGACGTGGCGCTTTATTTTGGTGAGTAATTGCTGTGGGAAGCTGTACATGCTGAAATTATATTTATTTTTAGAGATATGGAGGTTATAGATTTTATTATTATGTAAATCATTAGTGACATATTTTATAGACATTTCATATTATATTCAATGTATAACAATAACAGTAGAGAACAGCTGATAAACTGCACAATGAACCCAAAGAATGAAATCAGTAATTATTATTTTTATTATTATTATATTTATAGAATTATTTCGTGTGAATATTAATCAGAGATGAGTTTTCTAATATTTTAGGAACTTTTTATACAATTCTCTGTCTGTATTATGTATTTTTTTTAACAATCATACAGACTTCTTTATACTACTTTTTTTTTTTTTTTAAATATTAGTTGTTTTCTTCTCCCTGCTGCTTTGGCCACTGTTAGCTCTAATGCAAGACAAGGCAAAGTTTAGATCTAAAATAAAAGTCTAAACTCTAAAAATGACAATTTCATTTAGTTTTCTGTATAGAAATAAACACAAATAAGCTTACTTAACATTAGGCTGTGTTAATTTTAAAAGTTTTATTACACTCCTTTAATCAAGAAGGCCTCGCGACCCCCTGTGAAGCTTGTGGCGACTCCTGCCCTGTAAAATGAGAGATTTGGATGAATTTTGAGCAGATTATTTCCTCTGAATGTTGATCAAAGATTAGTTTTTGAAAAAAGAACTTTTTAACAATCCTACAGACTTAAAAGGCTTCTTTTTTGACAATTCAGTGTTTTCTTCTCCCTGACGCCTGCTCCATTAGCTCTTTGTTATAACTGTGTACATTTTTCCTACACTTTCTCCAGTATGTCTTTTTTGCTTGACTCACTGTCCTCCTTACTCCTGCCTGAGCTTGTTTATACTGAATCTGTTGAGGTAAAAACACAACTGAAATTGCAGAAGAATACGTAAATTAATTCACATTTTGTTATAAATGATGTTTGCTGTGTTAAAACCGTACGTTTAGAGCATTTCGGTGCTCTGTATAAAAATACAAAGGTTTGGGAAACAATCATGTCCAGAACGGAGAGGCTCTGTGTGTAGCATCCCAAAAAAAGAAGAAGAGATAGGGTCAAGGTAACCTCGCTGAGAAGAAACAAGGCTGGGCAGACCGCCAAACGCTTTGACAGCAGTTTCGAGGTGTCAGAGAAACCACTGGGCTGATAAGACTCATTAAAGACGGACACGCGGCTGTCTGCAAGTCCAAAATGACAACTTGCCAGGTGTGGGATCATGGCGGGGGCAGCCACAGAAAAATAAGGTCAATGCAAGTTCATCTCTGTAAAAAAAAACATAAAAGCCTTTAGATCTGGTTCGTATTTGGGCGTGTACAAAACATGACCACTAGGGGGAAACCTGTTCAAGAGATTATATCATTGTTTCCGAATCCTTTTACGGTTTTTATATAAGAAAGTTTAAACTCTTATGCATCAGATTCTGGAGTATTTTTCTGACTCCAATAGGTTTATTTAAGGATGTATTTTACTGAATGTCTGTAAGATTTCCAGACCTTTTTCTCGACTTTTACCTGAAATCATTTGCTAGAAATGATTGTTATATTTCTCTATTTTCTCCTCATGTTAATGCTTTCCTCTTTATTTTGGCTTTTTAAGAACAGACTCTGAAGCAGCTGATACCTTGTCTTATTTTACTATCAATATCTCGGCGCTCTGGTGTCTCACCTGGTGGAGAGAGTGCCTCTGAGGCCCTTTGCTACATGTTGTCCCCCCTCTCTCTCCCCAATTTCCTGTCTCACATGATCTGTCCTGTCAAAATAAAGGCATAAAAGCCCCTTTTCCCCCACTATCTATCCATTTCTGTCTTCTGTGGTCACTTCACTTCCTGGTTATATTACTGGGAACCAGTATGAAGCTCAGATAATACCATTTCTAACATCTATCCTTCTAATTCCATCATTCAACCACACTAAATTCTTTTCATCTCACAAATCTTCTCTCACTCCTGCAATGTGTTATGCCACATTAAGATCCTCGCATTAAAATTATTTCTCTTTCCTCGAGCTTGTTCCCCCGCCACACCCGACACATCCTCTCTTTCCTTTGCATATTTTAGCAACGTGACCAAATTCCTGGCAATTAAAACACCTCATTGTGCTCTCTTACACTTTTTCCTCACACATCCAAAGTATATTCATCTCAAACTCTAACCAAAACCTTTTCATTCTCCCTTGTTATTCTTAGAACTCTTGTTCCCCTTACTACTCTGACTTTTCCAACACTAATCATTTTCTTTGCCTTTCTCCATCTGTAAGTTTCCATCTCCCCAAAACTCGCCCTCTAATGATTTATGTTAGCTTTAGAGGATCGACTTTACTCTGCCCCCTCAAATCTTCCCACTACATTAAGCAGTCCTGCCTTCGGGTCTTTCTCCTCGCCCTCTCTTCCCCTCATTCTCCGTTCCACCTGAGCTATATAGCTGCGTCCTTTCTCTTTGACTCTCCCTCCTCTCGTTACTGCACTCTCCCTCAGTGCTGTCAACGTCTGCCTCCCTCTCCGCCGTCCTGTCAGAGTTTGTGAAGAACAGTGGAAGAATATCGCTCTGCACCTACAGTACACAGGTTCCCACACAACACCCAATCAGCTAGTGATCCCCATTTCTACTCAATGTAACTGTAATCTGATTACGTCTCTCTGTCTGTAACTGCTAACTAACCTTTTTTTTGTATCCTGATTACTCAGTTACATGGAATCCGTTACTCCCCAAGCCTGGTGATTACCCCACTACTTCATGTTAAGATGGCTGCTGTGACAAAGGTCTATTTAGCTTCTATTAGCATTGAATTTAAGGGTCTTAGAATCAGAGTAGAGTTAAATTTATTACGTTTTTTGTGGAGAGAAATCCTCACTTTGATTCTGTTACATCAGGATACATCAGCAGCCGCATGTGGCTCTTAAGCTCCTCTCCAGTGGCTCCCTAGATGGAATAACTGTAATTTGTTTTACCTTTTATTTGTTGAAAGCCTAAAATAAATCTTAATTTCCCCAATTGTAAAAATGTGTAGTCCTACACACAGAATAAAATAAGTGTTTTTGCATTTCATTAACTAAACTATGTGTCGAAACCGAACTGGACACACAGCTGGCAAAAACTTATGAGTGTCCCAAGCTGAAAAGTCGCATAAAACCTCAAATAATGTTTAAAAACCTCACAAAACCCGACATACTTGTGTTTGAAACATTTCATTTTGGGGGGTACTGGGGCAAAAAAAAAATGTAATTGTTGTAGTTCTCTAATTTCAAATCAACAAAACCTGTTATTATTGCAAGATTAACACCAAATACTAGTGCATCCACATTTAGACCTATTAGTGATGTTGATGGACTCATTTAGACTTAATATGCTCTATTATAAAGCTTAAATATACTCCAGACAGATGATAATTATTGATGTTATTTGGACCTTCTGATAGTACAGTACAGAACAGTCATACAGGTGCTCTGTTACCTGAGCCACGCCCCTCGGGACTCGAGCTCCAGCTACAGGTGAGGGAGGAAAACTCTGTTCGGCCTCACTGTCGGACTGTTTCCCTCCGTTAGCGCCAGCAGCTCATATATTACCGGCTCCGGTTGTGAACGCTGGTCTGAGGTCAGTAGCCTTCATCAGACACTCAGCTGTCTGTTGTGCTAATGTCTATCATGCTCCAGCTACAGTGCTACTGCTGCTGTCTGTCAGTGACATGAGATCATTCAAGGTAATGTGTTTTAATCTTGTAATATGATGAAAAGAAAGTAAAGAAAAAGACCTTCTTTTGCTCTCATGTGGGCGTAACTATTCTACCACAGGTGGTCTTCATCAGGAAGAAGTGAAGTGAACACACCTGTATTTAATTGGCAATTAATGATGAAACTTCCCATCATGTATGGAAGCTCATTTCCACCATTGTGATGGAAAGAAAAGATATACAAAATATATCATAAATGATGACATAGTATCTCAATATTGAGAAAAATTGAGCTAATAAGTCCTTATTTTGAGATACTAAGTAAAAATATTGAGAAGGTTTCTCATTAAAAAGACTTACAGGCTCAACTGGGACATCTGTACTGGATTTATAAAAGTTTAAAGTCGTTAACACTCTTTATTTTTACTTGTTGACATACCAAACATGGGCCATGAATATCTTATTTTCTGATTTATTTGCCAAATATCTGCGACAAATACATAAAGAATTTAAATAATAAAATGTCTTTAATTATTGGAGTATGATATTAATGTAAAATATTCACATTGGTGTTCACTTTTTTTTTTACCTTTTACCTGGAGAAAACCAGCTGTAAGTAACTTAGTTTAAGTCATTTTTTAAGTAGATAGCTGTGGCCGATTATCTGTCTTCAGACACACCTGCAATCAGCCTTGTCAGTGTGGCTGCTGTGGAACGATGTCAGCGTTTTGGGAAGGTGGTGGGACTATTTTCTTCATTATTTTTACCTAACAATAGAGATTTTGTGCTTAATTCTGTCCCACAGGTGGAAAAAAGTTATT